CCCGCACACTCACCGCCGGTCCCCTTCCCCCACACCCTGGACAGACAGGGTGCCTCCACTCGGCCCAACCACGCTCAGTCCATCAGGCCAGCCTGACCACCACCACCAGGCTCAGGTGATGACAGAGGGCCTCTTTCTGGGCGCCTCTTTCTTCCTTTGAAAGGCGTTGGGCCATGGGGCTGTGTGGCCCTCCCTGCCTCAAGTAACCCCTGTTATACCAATCTGCTGCCCTCCTCCCTCCTTGAATACAGCTTCTCTGCTCAATCTACTTCTAACTCTTAACCTGGAAGGTAAGGTTCTCAAAACCACCATCCACCAGGACCCCCCAGGAGACACACCCAGCAGCTGCAGGGCAAAAAGAGTGAACAAGACTGTTCATCCAAAGAGGAAGATGGAAAGAATAGAGAAAGAGAAGAAAAGAGGGAGAGAAAGGGATGAGGGGAGGAAGGGAGATAGAGAGGGAGAGGGGAGGAGGGAGAGGGAGAAAAAATTCTGACCGGGGAAAATCGGGAACAAAAGGAAGCAGTTTGTGGTCCCCGAGAAATTCTGGGCCGAGAATGTCCCTTCTCAGGAAAAGGAAAGGGCCACTCCAACAGGCCCTGGGAGCCGAGCCTATCTCCAGAGCCCAGAGAGAGCCTGCTGTTCCAACATCCCTCTGTGCCAGCTGGGCCCAGAGGGAACTGCCAGGCCCCAGATCTCTGCTTTTCCCACACTGCAGGGCCCCGGGTACCCCCATCCTATCCCCCCTCACCTGCTGCTGTCCTTTGTAACTTTTCGAAATAGCAGCTTCTGGAGGCATCCAAAGAGGTCTCTGATGCAGAAGGTGACCAGAGCATTGAACACTGCAACGAAGGGACCAGAAATGCTGTTTACAGGACAGCAGATGGAACAGAGAGCCTGTATCCCAGGTCCCCTGGCCCCAGCTCACCAGCACTGTCTGTGACCTGGAATTTAATGGCCTCAGCACCCTCTGGGTCTCCTTGGGTGGTAGCCACAGCTGCGCGGAACGCCTGCACAACTTCATGGAACAGCTTTGGAGTTAGGTGTCGCTAAAGGGACAACAGAACCCAGAATGTGAAGGGAGCCATCAGCTGTGCTGGACAGAGGGAGAGGCAGCCAGCAGCTCCCGGAACCTGCCCGAGGAGAGAACGGCACCCCTCGCCCTCACTCTCACACAAGGCAGAGGTGGGGTGAGTGTTCCATGTGCCAGGAATAAAGAGTTCAGAATCCTCCTGGGCGGGCAGGGAGCCCAGCTCAGGGCCCACAGGGGAGGGGCTGAGGGTCCCGGATCTGGACAATGGCCAGCTGTGCACAGCTCCTGTAGTTCTCCCTTTCCATCCCTTCCTTTCCCTACAGAAACCACGGCCAAACCCTCAGAAGAAGGGGTCTGACTTGACCAACTACCAAAGGCACAGAGACCATATCCTGCCCACAAGACTTCAGGGAGCAAGGAGCCAAAGAGAGAAACCGAGAGCAAAGGAGCAGGCACAGCCGCTAGGATCTGACTGAGGAGACAACGCAGCCCTGGAGCCTCCTTGGCTGTGGAAGAGCTACGCGAAGTAGCTGGCTTCTAGGGAGGGGACCTCCCATCTGCACAGTACCACGTGACTCAACCGAGTCAGGCCAACCCCTAATCTCACACACACACACACACACACACACACACACACACGGAGCGGGGGTGTCCAGCCATTTCTCACTTTCGCTGCCTGCTTCCATCTCTCGACCATGGCCAGAGTCACTGGGGTAGAATCCCTCTTCTTCCCCTTCGGTCCTCTGGAGGCCCCATCCTTGTCCTCCTCGCCTTCCTCCTCACTGGCTTCCTGCACCAGACACAGAGGGCCGGGCTAGAGCAGGATGTAGAGGCCAGGAGTGTGCCCCCTGCCCCCATCCAGCTCTGTCCGGGCCCTCACTTCCAGCATGTCGGGCAGGGAGTGCAGCGGCTCCTCTCCATCCTCAGAGCCGTCCGAGTCGCTGAAGTTCAGCAGGCTCTGGTCGTTCTCCTGCAGGAACTTGTAGAACTCGGGGTCTTTGTCCTTCAGCCGAGAAAGCTGGTCTTTGTGCTCAGATGCCCGGCCTTTACGCAGGCTGGGGAGATGGGGGTCAGTCATCCAGTCAGATGGATAGGCAGAGCCAGTAGGGGTGGGAGGTAAGGCTTCCTGGCCTTCCCACTACCAGCTTGCTGACCTCTTCTGGGAAGACAGGGGGCTAACCTGCTCCCTCACAACAGCTACCCACAACTAAGGGGGATTTCTAGGGGGTAGGTTTTAAGATCGCTGTGAGCCCCAAGCTCCAAGCTCACACATCCCACAGCATCTCTACGTTTCCGCAGGTGCATTTCAAACCCAACATGCACAACACTGAACCTAGGGCTCCCCAAACCTGCTCTACCCACCCCTGCTTTACCTCAGTGGTGGCAACTCTACCTTTCCAGGCACTCAGGTGAAAGGTCAACCTGTCTGTCCCCCATTCCCAGCATGCACTCTGTCAGGAGCTCTCTCCAGCAATACCTTCAAAACCCCTCCCACCTCTTCTCTAACCGGCACCGTCTTTGAGTGCCCACCCCTGCGTCTACAGCAGCCCACGTGGCTCTCATGTGTCACGTGCCATTCCTTCACTCTCAGCACAAATCCCTGCGACTTCCCTTGTTACTGGGACACCTTATTAAGGGACCCACCATCACCTCTCCGGGCCCACCCCTCTCCTACCACAGCCACACTCACCTTCGCGGGAGGCCCGCTCCCAACCCGGCCCGGCTGTCCTGCACCTGCAACGCCAGGACACGCTTCCCCTAGCGGCGGCGCCGCCTGCTCCCTTAGGTCTTTGCTTACCTATCACCTCTTCCAACGACCTCCTCACTCCACTTAGCACAAGATGCCTGCCACGCTCCACTTTCCGTCTATCCCTGCGCTTCCTGGCTCACCCCAGCCTAAGGGGGCCTCCCGGGCCGGCAATGCCCGCCTCCAAACCAGGCTCGGGCAGGCACCGAGCGGCCGCTCGGTAAGCACCCGGTGAAAGAGTAAATAAGCCCGAGAGTGCGGGGCAGGGGCCATCGGTCCCCAGACCTCAGTGCTGCGGCCCCAGGAACAGCAGGCACCCCGCCTGCAGAAAGGGATGCTGCTCACCCGCCCGCGGACACGCCCCGCTCACCTGGCGGAGGGGCCTCCGCCTGGCCCGTCCGGGTTCCGGGAGGCTCCCCGCGCCGCCCGCGCCTCGGCTTCCTCATCTGCTTCAGGCTCCGACTCGGACTCGGAGTCAAAACCCGAGGCCAGGAACTCATCCACCGTCAGCTCCGCCAGGCGCCTGCGGGCCCCGACACCGGAATCGCGAGCGCCCGCCAGCCCGGCGCCCGCCCCGCTGCCCGGACACGGAGGGACGCAGAGGGGCCCCTGTGGACTGCAGCGCCGCGGGGAAGCCTCATCGGTCCCAGACTCTCAACTCACCGCTTGCTGCCCCGCACCGCCGCCATGCGCTCCGGTGGCAACGTGAGCTCCGCTTCCGGACCCAGAATGCCGCGCGCCAGCCAGACTTCCGCCGCAGGCCCCGCCTCTTGCCCCGCCCCGCACGCTGGCTCTGCGGTTCTCCAGCAGCAGTCCCTGCGGTCGGCGGGCGGGAGGGCGTGTGCACGTCCTCGGTGCCGCGGGCGCCCAGCTCCAGGGATGCGCGGAGGAGGCGGCTCCGGCTCAGGCCGGTTCGGTCACGGCTCCCGCGCGCCTCTACTCGGGCCCTGGGCGGGACGCGCCGCTCACGCTTCTCCTCCGTAAGAGGCAGTGACAACACCACGGACCTGGCATCAGGGGGCCTGGGGCCCACGGGCGCCCCCGCCCACTGGGTCACAGCCTCCCCGGGCTCCGTGATCACGTGCCTGTGCGGATGTCAATGCGAGGACAACGGACAAGATGCACCACTGAGGACCCTCTAGAGAGAGCTCTTACAAATCAGCCATAAAAACCCAACACTCAGCCGAAACCGGTGTGGCTCAGTGGGTAGAGTGTCGGCCTGCGGACTGAAGGGTCCCGGGTTCGATTCCGGTCAAGGGCACGTACCGTGGTTGCGGGCACATCCCCAGTGGGGGGCCTGCAAGAGGCAGCTGGTCGATGTATCTCTCTCATCGACGTTTCTAACTCTCTATCCCTCTCAATTCCTCTCTTTGTAAAAATCAATAAAATATATATTAAAACAAAACAAAAAACAAACCAACACTCTGGTAGGAAAAATAAAGCAATATAGAAACGGTGATGCTAAGGTGAGCAGTTCGCCAAAAGATTCAGGACACCCTGTGGCCAGACTGGCCTCGGCCAGGAGAGCAGTTTCCGCTTCCCGGGACGGTCCCCTAGTCTCCGAGGTGGGGAAGGGGGTGGTGGAAAGCGCTCTTATTCAAGGCAGTTTGCCCAAATCCGCCGAAAGCACTAAGCCTGGTACTTCCGTCCAGCGACCCCCCTCTGCGGTGAATGCACCGTGAGCTCCGCGCCTAAGGCCACAGCCCCCGGGGCGGCGGCAGGGACCGCCCCTTCCCAGGGCTGATGTGCGGCCCAGAGGCTGGCAGGCTGGCAGGTTGCCTTAGGGAAGGCTTGTGCCCTCCTTCCCGCCAGCCCCCGACCGTGGACCCCACAGCCCTGCTCCTCCCACCCCCACCCGCAGCCCGCGCCCAGCTCCAGGTCTGGGGCTTGTGTGGGTGGGGAGGGGGGGGCCTGCTTGGATGGGTTAGCGGGAGCGGCAGGCCGGGAAGCTTCTGGAATAGAAGCGGCAGACCGGGCCGGGGCGGGCGCCTCCCGGAGGAGCGGGCGGGCGTAGCGCCGGGACGTGGAGAGGATTCACGTTGCGCGCCTGCAGCCGCGGGAACGCGGGAGGCTGGGCGGGCGGCGCCGAGAAACAACGGCTGCGGGCAGCGGCGGGAGCCGGAGACGCCGAGCCGCCGCCGCCGCCGCCGCGCAGCCCTCCGCGGTCCCGGCCGATCGTCTGGGCGTCCTCCGCGGATCGCGGGTCCGGAGGCCGAGCCCATGCAGCCGCGCGGCGAGCGCCCGGCCGGCAGAACGCAGAGCCCGGAGCACGGCAGCCCGGGGCCGGGACCCGAGGCGCCGCCGCCGCCGCCGCCGCCGCCGCAGCCGCCCGCGTGAGTGCGGGGCCGGGGACGCGGGCCTGCGGGCGCCCAGCGGGGCCGGGAGGAGGGAGGGCGCGCCGACTGGCGGGCTGCCGTGAGGGGACGGCCGGGCGGAGGGTCCAGCTGCCCCTCCGCGTATCCACGCGCTCCGCGGGGCCGGGGTCCGGCTGCTCCCAGAGGCTCAGCCCCCGCCCCCGACGCCGCCCTTGAGTCCGGGCCGCGCCGCTAGTCTGCAGAAGGGGGCGGGCAGGCTGGACGCGCGAAGCCTTTGGAGGTTCAGCGAGGTCACGCCTGGCCGGTGGGCTTAGGGGTCCGCTTCAGCCGCCTGAGCCACTGGCCAGTTTCACTCCGGGCACTTCCCGTGCCAGCGGGGCTGCGGGCACCCGACTGCGATGGGGCGGGAAAGGCTGGCCACGGACAGAGCAAAGCTGGTCCTGAGGAGGCCTGAGCACATGGGGGCCGGTGCCCAAGGAGGGGTGGGCAGAGAGGCCCTGCAGGCCCAACACCCGACCTCAAGCGGGATGTGGGAGGCTCCGGGCAGTGAGGGAGCAGATAGGAGAGCCTAGGCCGCAGGGGAGGTCCTTGCAGGTGCCCGGTATGGCCCTGGGGGAGGAGTGGCCTCCTGGTGCCCCGGTCCCGACCTGGCACTGCCCGTCTGCAGCACCGAGGCCGAGCGTGCACGGGCCCGGCAGACCCGGCCCACAGCCCCCATGGAGGGCATGCAGCTGCTGAGCCGGGAGGGCCACACCGTGTCCCACAACTCCAAGCGGCACTACCATGATGCCTTCGTTGCCATGAGCCGCATGCGACAGCGCGGCCTCCTGTGTGACATCGTTTTGCACGTGGCCGCCAAGGAGATCCGAGCTCACAAGGTGGTGCTGGCCTCCTGCAGCCCCTACTTCCACGCCATGTTCACAAGCAAGTACCACCCCACCAGTGGGCACCAGGGGGCTCTTCCAGTCTGCCCGGGGGGACTGGCCTGACCCACCATCCCCACAGATGAGATGAGCGAGAGCCGCCAGACCCACGTGACGTTGCATGACATCGACCCTCAGGCCTTGGACCAACTGGTGCAGTTTGCATACACGGCCGAGATTGTGGTGGGCGAAGGCAACGTGCAGGTGAGGTGCTCTCCCCTCCCGACCTGTGTCCCGCCTGGCCTCCTGCCTCAGCTGTCCTCCCCTGTTTCTCTGTCGCTGCTCCCCGGCCTTCTGTCCCTCCTCACCCACAGACTCTGCTCCCGGCTGCCAGCCTTCTGCAGCTGAACGGCGTCCGTGACGCCTGCTGCAAGTTCCTGCTGAGTCAGCTTGACCCCTCCAACTGCCTGGGCATCCGGGGCTTTGCCGACACACACTCGTGCAGCGACCTGCTCAAGGCAGCACACAGGTACGTGCTGCAGCACTTCGTGGACGTGGCCAAGACCGAGGAGTTCATGCTGTTGCCACTAAAGCAGGTAAGGTGCCGCCAGCTGGGGTGCAGCGTGGGCCACGACCCAGTCCCCAGGAAGCACCAGCCCTTGGACTCTTTGACCCCCATCGTTTGGGCCCTAAAGGCCCAGGCCTCTGCCCCCTGACCCTTATTCCCAGCCTCACCCCCTGCCTCTGACACAGCCCCTGCCCCATCTTCTGACCCCACCCAAGCCTTTTTCTTTGCTCTGGGCCTGGGCACCCAGGAACTGGGTCTGTGGTTCCTGACCCCACTTGGCCCCTCCTCATAGGAACGCTGGGCCCCCATTGGACTCTCCTTCCCAGGCATCATCAGGGCTCCGTGGGCCCCAAGACCCTCCCCAGATTTCAGGTCTGAGGGTCCCTACCCCCAGGTGCTGGAACTGGTCTCTAGTGACAGCCTGAACGTGCCTTCAGAGGAAGACGTCTATCGTGCCGTCCTGAGCTGGGTCAAGCACGACGTGGATGCCCGGAGGCAGCACGTCCCGAGGGTGAGGCCAGCCCCGGGGCCGCTGTGTCAGGAGGGGATGCAGTGTCCGAGGCCCTGGGTCACCTGGGCTCCTCCGCGTCCAGGGTGTTGCAAGTGTCCGGTGGACAGGTAGACAGGTGTCTGGGGGTCTCACTGCTAGGAGGAAGTGTGCCCATGGGTTCTGCCTGCTGCCTGACCATGGTCCTCCTGCACCACAGCTGATGAAGTGTGTGCGTCTGCCCCTGCTGAGCCGGGACTTCCTCCTGGGCCATGTGGATGCTGAGAGCTTGGTGAGGCACCACCCTGACTGCAAGGACCTGCTCATCGAGGCCCTCAAGTTCCACCTGCTGCCAGAGCAGAGAGGTGTCCTGGGCACAAGCCGCACTCGGCCCCGACGCTGTGAGGGTGCTGGCCCCGTGCTCTTCGCTGTGGGTATGCCCACCTGCTTGGTCCCCACATCCCTCCCCTCTCCCTTCACCTCTCTGGCCTTTTCTATCCAGGAGCCCAACACTAGCCCGTCCAACCTGTGCTGGTCACGTCCTGCGCCCACCTATGCGGCTCCTCTGTCCACCTTTGGAGGGTCCCATGTGGTGTGACCCACTCAAATCCCTGTCCACACCCTTGGAGCCCCCATACCCTCCACCTTGAGCTGTGCCAGAGTCCCTCAGCCCATTACCTCCCTGAGCCCCTCATCCTGTCCCCTCCCCGCCCCCTCCCTAGGTGGCGGGAGCCTGTTCGCCATCCATGGCGACTGTGAGGCCTACGACACACGCACGGACCGTTGGCATGTGGTGGCCTCCATGTCCACACGCCGAGCCCGAGTGGGCGTGGCGGCAGTTGGGAACCGGTTGTACGCAGTGGGCGGGTAGGTGTGGAGGCTGCTCTTGGGTGAGGGCCCATGTGTGTCCACTGGGCCAGCCCTGACCGGAGCGGACCCCTCTCCTAGTTACGACGGGACTTCAGATCTGGCCACCGTAGAGTCGTACGACCCTGTGACCAACACCTGGCAGCCCGAGGTGTCCATGGGCACGAGGCGCAGCTGCCTGGGTGTGGCTACCCTGCACGGGCTCCTGTACGCAGCCGGTGGCTACGACGGGGCCTCGTGCCTCAACAGGTAGTGGCGGGGGTTGGGGCAGGGTGGTGGCTCTGCTGCATCGGGACTGCAGAGGTCATACTTCAAGGGGAGCAAAGCGGGATCCCATCTGCCTCAAGTCCCCTAGGCCTGTTCTCTGTGCCAGCCACCTGTCCCTTCTGCTCCTCTCTGGGGTGCTTCCCACGGGGCTAGGACTGGGCCCTGGTGGACACTGGCACAAAACCGCCCGGGCACCGGGGGCCCATGCACACCCAGCAGGCCCGCCTCCTGTTCCAGTGAGACTCTGGGGTCAGTCTCTGACTTCCATCATCTGGGGGAGGGCAGCCCTGGCCTGCTACCGCTCAAGGCCAGCAGCGGTCCTGTTGTCCACAGTGCCGAGCGCTATGACCCCCTGACCGGAACGTGGACGTCCATCGCCGCCATGAGCACCCGCAGACGATATGTCCATGTTGCTATGCTTGGTGGGTGACAGGGCTCGCTTGCTGTGGCGCCCACCCCTGCCTGCCCCATCCTGGAGACCCCACACACAGCAGGCAGGCCACGGTCATGTTGACTCTCTGCAGATGGCAACCTATATGCAGTGGGCGGTTACGACAGCTCCTCGCACCTGGCCACTGTGGAGAAGTATGAGCCCCAGGTGCGAAACACCCCAATCGCAGGTGTTCCCCTCCCCAAGTGCTGTCGGAGGTCAGCGCTCTGGCCACCCACACCCCCCAGAGCCTCAGACCTTTAGATCCATCCGCCCCCCCCCCTCCCGTCCCGCAGACGCCTGGCCTGGAGGGGGCTGTGTGCTGTGCAGGTGGAGGGAGGCTGGCAGTAGGATTCCCCAGCGGGTCCCCTCACCACAGGCGAACACGTGGACGCCGGTGGCCTCCATGCTGAGCCGGCGCAGCTCGGCGGGCGTGGCGGTGCTGGAGGGAGCCCTCTACGTGGCTGGCGGCAACGACGGCACCAGCTGCCTCAACTCTGTGGAGAGATACAGTCCCAAGGCCGGTGCCTGGGAGAGTGTGGCGCCCATGAACATCCGAAGGTGTGCTGTGACACAGCCGGGGGGTGGGAGGGCCTGTCCCCCCACAGCCTGTTGGCCCCAAAGACAACTGCTATGTGTCTCGTCCTGTGCCGTATGGTCCCCCTCCCTGTCCGGGCTCAGCCCTAGTAACGCTCCCCGCCCCGCCCCTCCCAGCTCAAGGAGGCGCCTCCCACAGCCTGTGGCCCCACCCCAGAGGCTTCTGCCTTGGCCTGGGGCCCATCTGCCGGCTCACTCCCGGCTGTCCCGCCCCAGGAGCACCCACGACCTGGTGGCCATGGACGGCTGGCTGTATGCCGTGGGGGGCAACGACGGCAGCTCCAGCCTCAACTCCATCGAGAAGTACAACCCGAGGACCAACAAGTGGGTGTCCGCGTCCTGCATGTTCACTCGGCGCAGCAGCGTGGGCGTGGCGGTGCTGGAGCTGCTCAACTTCCCGCCTCCATCCTCGCCCACGCTGTCCGTGTCGTCCACCAGCCTCTGACCCGTGGCGGGACTCACAGAGGCTTGCCCGCAGCCTCCCACATGCCTTAAGCCCCACAGGGGGCCCAGCGCCTCCCTGCCCTCACCTGTGCATCGGGGTTGGGCTCCCCACCAAGGACGCCTGTACCATCTGTCCACGTGTCCGTGTCCATTCCACAGTGTCCATCTATGTATGTGTGTGTATTTATGCGTGCGTTAATTTATTCAGTATTTATTGATGATAGTAGTGCCACAGCTACCAGTTCATACGATTGCTCTGGAAGTTTCTGTGTCTCTGGGACCAAGATGCCATCCGGGTGTCCTCCGGCCTCACTGGGGGTGGACACTCAAGGGATGTGGGTCAGGGCCAACTCGGACTCTGCAGACCTGGGGGGACCAAGGGGTAGATGCAGAACAGTGGGTGGGGGAGGGGGCCTTCTGAGCAGGTGCAGACCCCCAGCCTCCGCTTTGCACAGGCCCTGGCCTCACAGGGCAAGGCGTGCTGCAGGGGAGGGGCTTCCTGCCTGTGGACGTGGTGTCTCCTGGACCCTGCACTGAACTGGCACCGCGAGTGCCACAGACCCCTCAGCAATATGAGCTGCCTTGGACAATAAACATGTTCCTTGGGCTCTGGGCCTGTGTCCAGTGTGATCTCTGCCTTTTGGGGTTCTGTCTTGAGTGACCAGGAAGGTCTAGGGTGGGTAAACAGTTGGGCTAAGGAATGGCATTGGCATCTGGGGCCTTGGAGGTGGCACCATCGGGCCCAGCTGGGGCAGCGCTGCGATGTCCTGGACGAGAGGCTGACCCTGGCCCCTCAGCCTGGTCCTGTGTGGCCCCAGGTCCACCATGCCTGTCCCACATGCCTAGGAAGACCACCCACAGCCTCCTTCCTTCCTGGATTCTGGTTAAGCCTGTGGGACCCTGACCTTGGCCCAGGATGAGGCCTGAACTGAGGCAAGCAAGGAGGCTGGGGGGGGACGGGGGGGTGGTCCTGGCTTTCCCTTCCCTCACTTGGACTTCTCCAGCAAGCACACATCCCCCCCTCCACACCCCCCGCTACAGTCATGGGTGACTCAGATTGGCCTTGAGGTGGAAACAGGATGTGTGCTCACGTGGGTGCCTCGACGGGTCCCTGTCTCCCCGAACGCTAGCCCCAGACACCCCAGCCTAGGTTCAGGCAGGGCATGCGCTCAGAGGCCAGGCCTTGAAGGTCCGTCCTTTACAGGTGGGAGGCGGAGCTGGGGGCTCTGGGCTGGGTTGGGGAAGCCTCCTGGTACCGCCCAGGACTGCCTTATGCAGAGGACCCAGGGCTGAGGACTGAGAGGCTGGGCCCAGGTAGGAGCCGACCTGCCCAGAGAGGCTCCACCCTCACCCTGTGTCAGCCCCGCCCCAGGAGGTGGGGGCAAGAGGCTCAGGACCGAGGCACCCAGACCTGTCGCTCTGCTCACTAGGCCAGCCGCCACCGCCGCCCATGGGGAACAGCCACTGTGTGCCCCAGGCTTCCAGGAGGCTCAGGGCCTCCTTCTCCAGAAAGCCCTCGCTGAAGGGCAGCAGGTGAGGGGGCGCGGCTTGAGGCTGGGTCTCAGGGTCGCCTCTGCTCGCCGGGGCCAGGCTGTGAGCCCCCCACTTTGTCCGCAGAGAGGATGGCACCAGGAAGCTGGCCGGCCTGTTTGGCTCCGAGGCCAGTCCGGACGACGGGGACACCGCGGCCGACAAGATCTTCTGCTACATCCCGGGGACGGTGAGCGGTGGGCGTGTCCTGCGCGGTGCGGCCACCGGGGCGGGCCGGGGTGGGGGGGTGCGAGGGACCGTGTCTGCTCTGCCCAGGGCCCCCAGGGGCAGCCCCGAGGGGGCGTCAAACCTAGAACCAGGTGAGGAAGTAGGAGCAGCCCCGCCCTAGAAGCTAGTCTGGCCGAAAGTCTGAGCTGAGAGCGAAACTGGGGCCAACTCTGAGTCAGTGGGTGAGCAGCGCCGGCCCCAGCTGGGCGGGGGCGGGGCCTCAGAGGTGGCCCGGCTGCGAGCTCGGGGTCTGCAGCTGGGCGGGGACTGGCCAGCGTGTCCAGGCGCCTTTGGGTTGGACCAAGCACATGTGTCTCGGAGCTGCTCTGTGTGGGCCTGGATGTTGTGTTCCTCCTGTGGATGTGAATCCCACCCTGCCGGCTCCTTACTCTGAGTAAGGAAGGGGCTTGGGTGAGCAGTGAGCCAGCCTCACACTTATTCCAGGACTCAGTTGCTTCCAAGCTGACCCCCAACATCCAGCACCCACCACTGCCCCCTCCCATAGCAATGCCCTGTGGGCCCTCACCCCCACTCCCAGGACCGCACTGCAAGGCAGATTGGCACAGTGGAGCTGAAAATCACCCCGCCCTCTGCCCAGCCCCTGTTGGGGAGAGACACCCAGCGTCTCGATGACTGGCGTGCGTCCTCGCTTGTGAGGGAAGTGACCCCCAAGCTGTCATTCCAGGAGAGGGTGTAGGAGAAACAGGTGTGACTGTGCCAGGGGCTTGGGCCAGGGCTCCGCCCTGCATGCCTCCATTGGTCCCTTGCTGGTGTGGGATTCCACCACCACCTTCTCAGTGTGTGCCCGGCAGGCTGGCCCCTCCATTCCCCCTGAGGTCCAGGGCTCCCTGGGGCAAGGACTGGCTTCAGCAACGTGCTCCCTCAGAGGGATGGGGTCCCGCGTGGCCCCGCCTTGGACCTTAGGCCCTGCTGTCCAGGCCCACACACTGTAGAGCTGGGTGGACTCCCTCCAGGTGTGAGGGTACTCTTGCCAGGACTGGGGGTGGCTGGACAGGGCACCGGCATGTTGTGTCAGGAGATGGGGCTCCAGAGAAGTCGGCTCTCCTTGGGTCCTGCCCGTGGTGGCTTTGAGCTGACTCCTCCCTGGACCCTAAGGCTGAGTCCGGGCCACAGGGCCAGTTTTGCAGCCCTTCCTGTTCTGTGGCCTATTTTTCACAGTCCCATCCCGGCATCATTCCCCGAACTGGGTGTGGGTGCAGGAGGCCCCACCCAGAGGCAGGGAGGCCAGGAAGCTGCGCCTCTGTCTGTGCACATTCCTGGGCTTGTCTAAGTAAGGGGCGGCTTGGCTTGGCCAGGGCATGGCAGCCTGGGAGGCAGCCCCTGCCAGCTCCTGGAGGAAACATGGCCCTCCACAGAGCCCCCTCCAGCCACAGCCCTGTCTGACTCCCAGTCTGATGGTCAAGCTCCCATTTGTGGAGGCCTCTCTGTGCCCCAGAACTGGCTGTGTGTGTGCGCTGGCAGGCACTGAGCCTCCAGCACACCTCAGACCTGTCCTGGCCCGGACCATACGGCAGTGGCCAAAACAGACCAAACCCCTGTTCTCAGGGCGTTCCTATCCCTGTGACACAGAGCCAGATGGCCAGACAAATGAGCACAAGGTATTATTATGAGGAAGATGAGGTTAGCCCTGAGGGGTGGAGAGGGGTCAGGGGGGTGGGAAGTTGGAGGGGCAGACAGGGTGTCACCGAGGAGGTGAGGAGATGGTCCCAGGCAGAGGGTCGGCAAACTGGAAGGCTCCGCGCTGGGCACGTGCCTGACGTGAGGAGGAAGCAGGGAGGGGGCGGGTCCTCGACGACCCCTCAGCCATTGCCGGCAGGAAGCCTGCCCGGCCCAGGACTAGGCAGCATGTCTGGGCACATTTGGGCCTCCACTAAGTGACGTCAGGAGATCAAGGTCACGGCTCCCTTCCAAGCTCCATGTTCATAGGCGTCACACTGACTCAACATGGGCTAGAGAGGGGCTGGCAAACACATCAGGCATCCCCTCCCCGCTTTTTTAGAACCAGGTTAAACATATACCAGTCAATAGAAGATTCAGGAAGACTTTTTTAAGTATGTATATTTTTATTGACTTCAGAGAGGAAGGGAGAGGAAGAGAGAAACATCAATGATGAAAGAGAATCATTGATCAGTTGCCTCCTGCACATCCCACACTGGGGATGGAGCCCAAAATCCAAGCATGTTCCCAGACCGGAAATCAAACTATGACCTCCTGGTTCATAGATTGATGCTCAGCCACTAAGCCACATCAGCTGGGCCAGGAGAGTTTTGAGTACTGTCTCATTCAGACACCAAAATACTGTGACCAACCAGACTTAGGGGCTGAATAACCAAAATAAGGGTACACAGCTTGGGAATCTCCTTTGAGTCCAAACATCACTGTCTCCACCACTGGCTGTGTGATTCCACGACTCGAAGTGAGGTGGTGTGTGTGTGTGTGTGTGTGTGTGTGTGTGTGTGTGTGTACTGGAGTTCAGGCCTCCCCTCCTGAGCGGTGCTCCTTGCAGGACCTCCCGGGCCTGGAGAGCCAGCAAGAACACCTGGACCAGCCGTTCCTGAGCGTTTTCAAGAAAGGGCGGCGCAGGGTGCCTGTGAGGAACCTGGGCAAGGTTGTGCACTATGCCAAGGTCCAACTGAGATTCCAGCATAGCCAGGTGGGGGCCGGGCTGGGTGGGGGTCTGGATCCAGCCTGCAGCCTACCCCCCCCCCTCCCCTGGTGCTCAGACAGCAGCCCTGCCCCCCCAGGATGTCAGCGACTGCTACCTGGAGCTGTTTCCTTCCCACCTCTACTTCCAGGCCCACGGTTCTGAGGGACTCACTTTCCAGGTGAGGGAACTGGGCACAGGGAGGAGGCTGGGGGGACAGGGAGGAAGCCCCTGAGGGGCCATGGTGCCTGGGGGTGCTCAGCCTCCGATCCTGCCGGGCTCTGGCAGGGGCTGTTACCGCTGGTGGAGCTGAGCATCTGCCCGATGGAGGGCTCCAGAGAGCATGCCTTCCAGATCACAGGTGTGTGGGCATGAGCAGTTCCGCCCAGGAGGGTGAGAGGGCTACGGGTGCCCCCAGGGCAGTTGAGGAGCACCTGGCTCCCTCAGAGCTTCCTCTGGCCAGACCCAAGGGCATTGGCGGGACCCTGAGTGTTGAGAGACCCTTTTTTCTCCCAACGGGCACATGGCCGTGTGCCTGGCGGGGGGAGTGCAGCAGGTCCTGGTTAGCAGCCCTGGGGTCTGCAGGAGGGGCCTGGGGAGGGGCCTCTCCTGGGGGTGCCGGCCCAGCCCCCCTGCTCTCCACCCACAGGCCCACTGCCTGCCCCCCTGCTGGTGGTCTGCCCCAGCCAGGCTGAGCTGGGCTGCTGGCTCTACCATCTGGAAAAGCAGATGGCCCTGCTGAGAGGCCTGCAGCGCTGCCACTCAGCTCCCCCGCAGGTCAGTACCGCGTCCCCCAACCCCCTTTCCCAGCCCCCCGCCTGCCTGCCCTGACCCCTGTTTCCCAGGGGCCCCCTGAAGACCAGCTCCCCTGGAGCCTGCAGCACAGGCTGACCCAGCTGCGGACCGCATGGGGTCGCCAAGTGGTGGGCAGTGCCATCTGCGCCTCGAGGGTCAAGCTGCAGCATCTGCCATCACAGGTGGGTGGGGACACGGGCTGAGGGGTGAGGGGTGAGGGAGGGTGGAGCAGCAGGCGGGGCCAGGCCCTGGCTGCACCCCACTCTGCCCTTGACCCCCGCCAGGAGCGATGGGACCGGATCCTGGTGCTGTACTCGACTTCCCTGGCCATTTTCTCAGAGGAAGCAGACGGGCTTTGCTTTAAGGTAGGTCCTCCCACTGGAACCCGCCCCAGGGAGGCACCTGTGTGTAGGGGTGGGAGGGGGCGGCAGCTCAGGAGAAACCTGTATTTCGGGGCCAGTTGGGACAGAGCATCCTGGCCCCACCTACCAGCCTGCTGCCCTGGTCAGTCTGGTCTCAGCTCTGATGTGAGCAAGAAGGGCCCTGCCCAGGCACCTGTGTCACTGTGGAGGGTCCTTGGCCACATAACCTGGGGGTGACCATGGTCTTCAGTTGCCGAGAAGCACACATGAGGGCTCAGTCCCCCCAACGTCCCTCCCAGTCAGCAGTGATGGAGGGGACCCGTCCCCACGAGCATGCGTCTGTGTCTGCCATTGGTTGATGAGGTCCCCACCCAGAGGCCGACGGGAGGCAGGGAGATGCCCCTGGGGCAGATGGGGAGACCACATCTCTCAGGGCTGTCGGCCTTGGCCTTGCCTCACCCGGCCCAGTATCCCCATCTCTGGAGGGCGAGGGGAGTGATGGGCCCCGGCAGAGCCTCAGGGTTACCCCCAGGCGAAGGCCCACCTCCCTCACTGTCCCACAGGGGGAGCTTCCACTCAGCGCCATCCACATCAACCTGGAAGAGAAGGAGAAGCAGATCCGCTCCTTCCTGATTGAAGGTGGGCTCTGGCTGGGCCTGGGAGGGAGGGTGCCTGCGGCTACCGGCTCTGCCCTGGGCCTGGGGACACTCACGGTGTCTGTGTGCCAGGCCCCCTCATCAATACCATCCGGGTGCTATGCGCCAGCTACGAGGACTACAGCCACTGGCTGCTCTGCCTGCAGACCATCTCCCACCGGGAGGGAGCGCCCCTGCTGCCTGGCCCGGAGGGCTTGCCGGGGCTGCGGGCATCCCCCCAGGTGAGGGTCAGCAGGTCCTGGGGGGCAGTGATGAAACCGAAGAGCAGAGGGTGTGACTGGATATGGGTCAGTGGGGAGAGGGATCCTGCCACAGGGCTTACTACCTCCTACCCACTGCCAGGTCCTGGGCAGTGGCCGAGGCTCACTCTCCTCAGATGGACAGACCAGCTGGGACTCGGGGTACCCAGCACCCCACTCTAACCGCACCAGCCGTTCCCTCCCCGAGTGCTCAGTTCCGTCCAGAGCTGGCTGCCCTGCCCAGCCTGTATCTGTGAGTGTCTGGGGGTAGGGGCAGGGGCCATGAGGTGAGCTTGTGATGGGGAGTCAGGTAGCTGCATGCACCCTCCCTCCCAGGAAGCCAACTCCTGGGGAAGGGGAGTCAGAGGTTTGTGTGAGAGAGGGCCCCGGGAACCTTCTGGAAGGTCCTGTTTCCCGCAGGACCAGGCCAACCCTGGCTGGACCAGCGTCAGTGGGCAGAAGGCAGAGCTAAGACGGGGCGGCAGCAGTCGGTCACCCAGGAGCAAGGCCCGGGGTGAGAGGCCTGGCCCAGCCACTCCGCTGCACCTGGACCTGACCAAGGTGGGCCCAGACACTGACCCAGCCCTGAGCCTGGCTCTCCTCTGCCTGCACCTCCCTGGCCTCTATCTCCTGGGCCCGGAAGGTCCTGGAACCACCTAGGAGCCTCTCTTGAGGAGGGAGGACATGGGGTGGTCCGCTCCTGGAACCCTGTCTTTTCTACCTCTTGCCTGCAGCTGACCAGGCCGAGCCTGGAGGGTGGCCCAGAGACCTCAGACCACTCCCTGGAAACACCTCATTCCCCCCTCTACGCCGACCCCTACACACCACCTGCCACCTCCCACCACAAAGTCAGAGATGTCCGGGGCCTGGGTGAGGTCAGTGCCCTGCTGGGGACAGAAGGGCCAGATGTGCCATAGCCTGCTGCTTGGAGTCTAGACCAGTGGTCGCCAACCTTTCGGACCTCCACGGGCCACTGGTTGGCGACAGCTGGCCTAGACTATGCTCCTTCCCCTGGGTCTGAGGTGGCCACCGCCTGAGGTTTAGAGGAGGCCTGAGGTCTGCTCAGGCCACGAGAGGCGACGGGGGGGTTGTGGGCAGGGGTCCCTCAACTCTGCCAGGGCCTCAGTCACCCACCGACACTTTCCTGGCAGTTCCTCGCTGCAATGAAGAGCTCGCTCGGACCCGAACCCTCGAGCCCGTTCCCCTCCGTGCCCGTGTCTGTGCCTCTCTCCAACCCCAGCTCTGGAGTCTCCAGCCCCCACTTGCTCTCCAGGAAGGGAGCCCTGCAGCCCCGGGCCACTCAGCGGCACCGGGGTTCCATCAAGGGCCGTGGGCCCCGGCCCCCAGACTCTCCCCAGCTCGTGAGTAGCCGCCCCCACCTGGGCAAGGGTTCTGTGGGCCCTGGGGGACCCCCCAGGAGTAGGAGATACAGAGCTGGATACTGGGGCAGCTCATGGGCTGGTCTCTCCCCCAGGGCATGGCTCTCACACTTGTGTTTGGGGTTCCCAGGTCTCTCCTCCCAGGGAAGTTTCGCCCGACCCCCCATTACCTCCCCCAGGTGAGTGAGAGGCCCTGTCTCCTTCTGGGGGCAGCTCGGGTGGCACTTCCTGAAGACACACACACCTCTGCTCTCCCACCAGACGGCGGACCCCCCAGGAGCTGTGACAAAATCTGGGACCAGGCTCCATCTCCCTCCCGCCAGCAGAGGCCCCGAGAAGCCCCTGAGGCTGAGGGGGGACTCGCCCAGTGGATCTGAGCCGTTTCTCAGGCCCACCTGCCAATGTCGACTCTGGGGGATCTCCAGCAAGGCCTGGGTCTTTCTTTGTGGGGCCTCCAGCCAACCACCTCCACCAGATAGCAGTCAGGGTCTGACCCCAAGGGGTGGAGGGGGATCTCCAGAACCCTGAGTTTTCTAGGATCTGGAGGGGCTAGGGGGACAGCTTCTCCCCAGGATGCCCTGACGAGTGCCCTGAACCACAGACGAGGGCACGATGCCCAGAGGGGCTGAGCCTTGGCCCCAGGGAAAGAGTGAGGGAGAGGCTTGAGGGGCTTCACCTGGGAGTGGGAGAATGGAGCAGGGATGAAGGTGAAGGTCAGAGGGCTGAGGAAGTTGGGTTATGGAGAGTCAGAGTATGTGAGGTCAGAGGTCATGAGGAACCGAGGTCAGCAAGGTCAGAGGTAGGAGGTTGCCCATGTGGGTGGGTGGCATTGCTCACGAGAAAGGGACAAATGACTAAAGAAGAAAGAAGAGGAGATTTTATTTGTCTGTGTCCACACGTTCTTTACTCACAGCCAGGAGGCCCTGTGGCCCCGGGGCCTATGCTCACTATCTGTCTGGATCCCTTCCAGCACCCATCTGCCCCTGCCCACCTTTTGCCCTCCCTGTGGCTCCTCTCAGCCCCGGGACAAGCTCAGTGTCCCATTTCTCAGCCTGACTCCATGAAACTCTGCTTGGAACCTCGTCCAGGACTCTCCCAAGGAGGGGCTCCAGGCTCTGCCCTACAGACCCCACCCACAGGGGCCACTGGGTTCACCTTCCTGAAGCCCCTCCAAGTACCTGCTCCTTGTCTCGGGCAGCAGTCAGGAGACCTTGGCACAGGCACTTGGGTTCAGGGTTCAAACAGGCCAAAAAGGCCCTGCCAGCCCCGCCCTGCGCCTGCCCCGTCTCCAGGTGCTTGGATACCGCTGATTTCCTGCTCCATCCCGCCTCTCACCCTCTACCTTGATAATCAGACCAAATACAAAGGCCCTGTTCCATGTGATTTTGGAGAAACCACAAGTAATTTCTCAGTATAAACTCTCTCAGACTGCCTGTCTGAACTTCCAGCTTTACTGGACACTGCTTATTTGCTAATCTGGCCACCTTCCTAACCAGTTCCCTGCTGCACCCCAGCCACCCAACCTTCCCAGTCTCCCCTCCCAGGTGCGGGCGCAGCCTGGGCTTCGGCCACCGGCCTGGGCCTCAGGTGGAGTCCAAAACAGCCAGGACCAAGGACACTGGCTCCTTCTAGATGCTGCCGCATAACACAAAGGTCCAAGGGCAAGGCCAGAGGGCAGCACCTCGGCCTGAGCACCTGTGGCCATTTCCTGGTCCTGCGACTTCCTGGGCTGAGTCTGGCTCCTAGGGGCTGGGGCTTCGGCGTCCCTGCCTCACCTGCCGGCGGAAGTAGCGGATGGCAGAGATGGTGCCGATGTTGGCCAGCAGAACTGCAAGGGAAGCAAGAGCTGCCTGGGTGCCGGCTCCTGGCCTGGTCACCACTTGCACCTGCAGGGCTGGCCTCGAAGGGTGAGAGGAAGCCAGTGGGGTGAGCAGTGGGTCAGCAACGAGAGGAGCAAGGTCAGGGAAGAAATTTGTGTCTCCCAAGCACCCTGACCCCTGCTGGCCCCTCCACTTGACTTCTGGGCACCACCCCCACTCCCCCCAGGGCCCTCAAACCTGTTTTCCAGGCGTCTGGGGTGTGCAGATCTGAGGTTCTCACAGCCCAGGTGGCAAAGGCTACAAACACCAGGCACATGTCCTTCTGGCTGAAGGTAAACGAGGCGAGGGGACCCCAGGACTCCCCTAGGAAAGAAAAGCACATTCTGAGCTCCAGCTGCTCCCCTTAGATTCGTCTATCCTGGGACATGTCTGTCTAGAGACACGTCTGTCCTGCACATGTCTGTCTGGAGACATGACTAGCCTGGACATGCCTGAGTCACATCTTCCCCGTGATCCTCTGTTCCAAGACACAGGCAGCGTGTGGCACAGCTGAGTCAGGTCAACTTGGGCCAGTTGCCTCTGGGCACCACTTCCTGTTCCTAAACTGCCTTCATGAGGGAATGTGAGACCAAGTCCACTGAGTGCCCAGTGCCTGCCCTGCTGGAGGCCGGGGGCACGGATGTCAAGTCATCTGGGCCTGAACTCAGGGTGACGGGCGTTGCACAGCCAAACCCTTGAATGACCTGGGCTTCCCCACCTGGACTATGTCCTGGGATGGCTAGGAACTGCTCCTTCCTTCTAAGATCCTCCTTGAGGCCTCCCCCTGGCCTAGACCAACCTCCTGGCCTGCCTCTCCCACCCCCGCTGTGGCCTCCTGGCTGACATCCCTGGACAGTGTGTTCCCAGGACCTGGACAGGCCATGGGGCCCACGAGACACGCACCTGCTTGCCTGAGCACCAGGTCGAGCTGCTCTGTGGCCGCTGGGCTGGGCTCCAGTGCAGGGCCAGGCTGCACCTCCTGGGGCCCCGTTGTGGGGGCCTCCTGGGCCTGCAGCTGGAGGAGGGCAGCGGGCCGCAGCACGTCCTCCAGCTTGTCCTCCCCAAGGAAGTGTTCATAGGCCTCGGGGAAGGAGATGGGCTGGGGGTCTCCGGGCAGAGGGGCTGGCACAGGCTTGGCCTCTGGGGCTGGGGCCGGGGAGTGGCCCCCCCGGGGCCCAGGCCTCTTGGCTCGGCTGTCCCGGAAGAAGAACTCACACACTTCTGGCCACTGCATCTGGGCCTCGCCACCCTCTGCCTCCTCCTCAGCCTCCTCGTCCACCTCCTCAATGGTGTCACAAAGAAAGAACTCGTAGGCCTCAGGGACAGTCACGGCAAAACAGCTTTTATACCCAGGCCCCCCCGCGCCGAAGGCGGCAGGGGCGGGCAGGTGCTTCAGGATCCGAGGCTGGGGAAGCCTGGGCCCAACCGCCACTGCATCCCAAGCTGCAGGCCCCCCACGCCCCCCTGCGGCCATCCTGGGGGCTGAGGGCCCGGCTGCGGCTGGCGAGAGGGGGCGCGTGGCCTCCTCTGACCCTGGCTCCTCGGGGCTGGGCTCAGACACAGAAAAGCGCACTTTCTTCTTCCTGCCTGGGACAGGCCCTGGCGGGGGCGCCCCCGAGGGGTGTCCAGGGGCACCTTCGGAGGGCCCCCCTCTGGGCTGCTCTCGGCGCCCTCCTGAAGACCCCACGGAGCCCAAATCCAACTTGGCCTGGGGGGCGCCCTTGGCCTCCATTGCGTCAGGCCTGGCCTGGGGGATGGGGGCCAGGGTGGGTGCGCCCACATCAGACTCTGCCTTGGAGGCCGGTGCGGATGAGTCCACCTGCGGCTTGACCTTTCTGCCCGGTGGGGTCAGGGCCACATCCAGTCTAGACTCACAGGCGGGTGTAGACGGAGCCATATCAGGATGAGGCTTGGAGGCGGGTGTAGACGGAGCCTTGTCAGGATGAGGCTCACAGGAGGGTGTAGACGGAGCTGTGTCAGGATGAGGCTCGGAGATGGGTGTAGACAGAGCCTTGTCAGGATGAGGCTCACAGGAGGGTGTAGACGGAGCTGTGTCAGGATGAGGCTTGCAGGTGGGTGTAGACAGAGCCTTGTCAGGATGAGGCTTGGAGGTGGGTATAGACGGAGCCGTGTTAGAATGAGGCTTGGAGGCGGGTGTAGACGGAGCCTTGTCAGGATGAGGCTCACAGGAGGGTGTAGACGGAGCCATATCAGGATGAGGCTTGGAGGCAGGTGTAGACAGAGCTGTGTCAGGATGTGGCTTGGAGGCAGGTGTAGACGAAGCCATATCAGGCTTGGAGGCGGGTGTAGACGGAACTGTGTCAGGATGAGGCTTGGAGATGGGTGTAGACGGAGCCGTGTTAGAATGAGGCTTGGAGGCAGGTGTAGACGGAACCATATCAGGATGAAGCTTGGAGGCAGGTGTAGACGGAGCCGTGTCAGGATGAGGCTCACAGGCAGGTGTAGACGGAGCCATATCAGGATGAGGCTTGGAAGCAGGTGTAGACGGAGCCGTGTCAGGATGAGGCTTGGAGGTGGGTGCAGACGGAGCTGTGTCAGGATGAGGCTCACAGGAGGGTGTAGACAGAGCTGGGTCTGACTTAGCCATTAAGAAATCTGGACCAGGTTCTGGGGCAGGTGTAGCCACGGCGAGTGGCCCAGCTCCAGGGGTCATGCTGAGTGGGTCCGTACCTTGCTCAGTCGTGAGGACAGGTGTAGACAAATCCAGTCCCGGCCAGGCCACCTGCTCAGGGGCCCCTGCAGACTCCAGGCCCCGCTCGTCCTGCCCGGCTCCTGCTGTCAGCTCGGCCGACCCAGCTGAAGGGCCCTGCCCCCCGGACCCAGCTGGGCCTCGGGCCTCCTTGGGCCTGGCCTCGGGGAGCAGCGGGGAGCCCAGCGGGGAGGTGGGAGCAGAGCCCACGGCACTCGGGCGCCCACCCCCCTTGGCACCCGCAGCCCGCCTCTTCTTTCTGCTGGGGCTTCGGGGTAGGGCTCCAGGGCTGCTGGGGGGCCTCTGGGGCCGAGGGCTGCGGCCCGGGGACTCGGGGCTCGGAGGAGGCTCACCAGGGGGTCGAGGGGCAGGGTCCCGGGGGGCTGGCCCCTGCAGAAGCCTCTGCATCTCGTCTTTGGAAGGCACTAGCCCTTGGAGGGACACGCTCTGGCCGGGAGAGGCGGCGCCCAAGCTGAGGGACGGCCGGGGTTCTGACTGTGCTGACGTGCTGGGCATCTGCTGACCGGCCCCCAGGGCCAGGGTGGGCTCCTGCCAAGACCTGCTGACCAGCTGCTTCGTGGCCTCCCGGTCCTCCTCCTCGAAGCCAGGCCAGCCACTCCCCCCGAGCAGGGGCCGAGGCCCGGGGGGACTGCTGCCGCTGCTGTCCCCTTGGTCAATGTCACTGGACAGCAGCTCATCCCCAGAGGCCAGGCTAGCCTGCAGGAGGCCACACTCCTCAGCGGTGGCTGAGAACTCAGCCCAGTCCTGCTCACTCAGCTGGACACTGTACTGGAAGTTCTCCATTCCGGGCAGCAGGGCGCGGGAGCAGCAGAGCCGGGGTCTTCACCCCCTGCCTGTCTGCCAGCACCTCTCCGCCCTGTCTCAGCACTGGGCTGGCCTCTCCGGCCTGCAGGTCAGCAGAGCAGGATGCAGACGGCAGCTGGCTGCTTCCCCCAGGGCCAAACAGCTACAGCCCCACCATCTCTGCTTCCAAACTGACCCCCGTGTCAACTCTCTGACATGCGGTCACATTCCTTCCACCAAACGCGCTCTGGATCAGTGAGGGGCGCGAAGAAGGAGGATCCTCGTGCGTCGATCTTTCAACCCCAGAAGTGGCTTTCCTTCACGTCTCCAAGCATCTCCTGCTCAGCTGGATCGGCCTTACCCTCCAACTTTCCTCTGGACAGGCCGACGTGGCTGTGGGGAGTCCTGGACTGTCCCAGCATGCCCCAGCTGGCATTTGGCCACGGGGGCGGGGCCACAATATCCAGCAGGTGACCAGCCTTGGGTGATGACCTTCCACTAGCCTTGGCTGGGACAGGCTGCTGGGCTTCCTCTGAGCGCACGCTGGTCACGCTGATGCTGGCCGGAGTGCTCGCGGGTCCCCAGCAGGAGCCTAGGGAGGAGGCCCCAGAACAGCAAGGAGCCCCTGTCCCCCGCGGTCATCCTTAGGGTCTGTGTCCCCGACTCAGATGTGCCCCTCCCCTGCCCCGTCCCAGTGACCCAAGGTGACCCTGGCTGGCGCGTCTCCAACCCCTCAACCCCTGTGGACTGCCCTTCGGCCTGCGATGGAGATTCTGGACCCCAGGCACTGAGGCGGCTTCCTGACCCTGAGCCTCACCCTCCTCTCTAGCTCTAGGGAAGGTCCCTGGGAGCTGTCTGCCTCGGGGACCCCTCAGGGCGGGAATGAGGGGCTGCTGTTGCCGTACCTGAGACCCTGCAGCAGCCAAGCAGCAGCGCTGGGCGTCTAAGCTGCCTGTCCATGGCCTGGTGCTGGCTCGCCATGCAGCCCCACCCCCACAGCCAAAAATACCCATCCCAGGGTCACATGTCTCCAGCCAGCCAGCAGGGCCCAGGCCACAAATAGATGGCATTTGAGGGGCCTCCAGCTACGTGAGGGACACCTTCCTGGTCAGGTCGGACTCTGGCCAGAGAATGCTGACCAGCAATCAGCACGTGGCTTCTCTTTGCCTGGCTGAAAGCTGCTCCTTCTTCTTAAAGGGACCCCACTGCTGGGGGGACTTTTTCCGCCTCCCATTCCCCCACCCTCTGTCCCCCCAAGGCCAATCCAGAACCTCGAGTCTTAGGGCTTTGTCCTAATGCATGTGGGGAATGATGGATTCCAGAATGTTCCTCCAGGTCCTCTGGAGGTGATGGGTGCAGACACCTTCCCCGCAGCACTACCCATCCTGTGGGGAATGTGTGGAGTTGTTGAAGGCTTCCAGTTGGAGGGCACCCCAAATGGGCATGGCCCCTGGGCCCCTGGAGAGGTCAGGAAGGAAAAGGGGGTCACTACTACCGGCATCTTCCCACATAGGCTCCGGGGATGGGACCCCAGACAGGGGTGCAGGAAAGGTCATCAGATGCCATCACTGCAGGTGAGCCAGTCCCCAGGAGTGGGGCGGGGTGACATGCCTCTGACACAGCTGGCCAGCAGCAGGTCCTGCCAGGACCCCTCTGAGCACTTTGCCAAACACTGTCCACCCTGAGGGACACCTTTGTGGTCGGTCGGGGGTGCCAGGAGGACCCTCTTTCACAGCAGAGTTGGGTATGGCACAGAGAGGGTAAGCCACACAGCCAGCGAGTGGCAGAGGTGGGTCCCAAAGCCCCTGCTGTGGGCCGGGCTCCTGACCTTCTGGGCTTGGGGCTGTGCTGCCTTCCCCTGGGCAGGTCACGGTGACGCATCGGCCTCCCCACTGAGAGCACAGGAGGGAGCAGCAGGGCAGACAGCATGTGGGCACACAGGGAAGACCATTCCCAACAGCCCCGAGTCATGGGAGAAAGCGAGAGCCTGGGACGAAAACCCTGTGAGGCCGAGGGACAGGCCTGGGGGCGCGGACAGCAGGGACAGCAGGGACAGCGGGGACAGCAGGACTGAGCTGCGAGGGTGACAGTGGAGACCTTGCAAGGATGCGCCAGAATGGGCATTGAGTGTCGGCAAACGATTCCATGTGACAGGTGTTCAGGAAGCACTCCAGGGAACAAATGGCGAGTGAGCGCATGGTGTGGCACCGCCAGCTGCCTCATGGGAAGGCTCTGTGCTCCTGGGCAGGTGAGCCTGGCCAGGAAGGTCACCCTCCGAGCCTGTCCACGCCTGTGTCTCCTTGGGGCTCCTTCCTGGTCACCCAGAGCTCTGCGCCAGGTCCAGGCGTGGGGATTTCCTTGGGGCTCCTTCCTGGTCACCCAGAGCTCTGCGCCAGGTCCAGGCGTGGGGATTTCGCACACCAATTTCAGTGCATCCTGGCGCTGTCTGCCTGCCACAGAGACTCAGATCCCAGCTTAAGGGCTTTGTCCCACAAGGCTGCCCCTTGGACTCCAGGCCCCGGACATCTGTCTGACTTGGCACAAATCAGAGGTTCCCATGGCTGCTGCCCCTTGGATTGAGCTCCGTAGCTGGGCGGCTCACAGGACTCAGGGAAACACCCACATTTGCCAGCTGATTATAAATAGATGTGACAATGGACACAGATGATCACGGATGGGAGTGATGCGTTGGGCGTGGCAAGTGGAAGGGGCAGGGCTTCCGTGTCCTGGGTGCCGCCAACCAGCAGCTGCCCTTCCCACTCACTCCAGCCCCCCGGATAGACAGCAGACTACCTGGCGTCGGTCATTCCCTCTGGGTTCAGCCTGTCCCCGCTCTCAGGAATGCAGGGCTCACCAGAGCTGCTCACGGGACGAGATTCTGCTGGTGCTCCTGCCATCCAGGACATGACAGGGTTTCCAGAGCTCGGTGCCAGGAACCGGGGCAGAGACCAATCTGTGCAAAGTGTGTTATCTCACGGTCATTTCTTTCCCTATCCCACAGTCACTGTCATGCTGGAGCTGGGGACTGAGGGCTGGGCCGTCAGTGCCCACCAGGCGCTTACCAAAAAGCGTGTCCTGGGCCAAGGCTTGGGTTGATTTCCATTTGCAGCTAATAATCAACAGCGATGTGGTGACCGGCCAGGAATATCCTTTTGGCAAACGTGTGTCCGTGGTTTTGTAGAGTGCATGGGTCAGAGGCAGTGGGCCTGCCAGCGGTCCTCCTGGGGAGTCCTGCCTTCACCAGGGGCTAGACAGTCTGGGACGGTGTGCCCACACCTGCCTCCTCCGGGCACACACCTCCTCCATAGCAGGAAGGCTCTGGCCATCCAAAGCCTCTCCTCAGGGCTTTCGCTCTCTCCAGGCCTTTTCCTTACTCATTTGTGGGAGCTTTCACACACTTTGGATATGCATCTTAGTAAATGTTTGCACTTATCTCTCTCTTTGTCTCACTTTTTCAGTTTCTTCACGATGCCTTTGGATGAACAGAAATTTATTTTATTTTGGATGAACAGCAACTTAAAAGGGATAAAATTCAAATTTTAGCACAGTCCAAGTTGTCCACAGTTTCCTTGGTGGTGATCACTTTTCTGTCCCCTTGAGTTCCCTGCCTACCCCAAAGCCTTGCAGGTGTGGAGAAGGTGGCTTGTTCCCTTTTAAAGCATCACTACCTCACCTCTCCCATCGGACCTGCGACCCAGCTGTGCTGAAGCCCCCCCGGATGGTGGGTGATGGGGTGTCCTGTCACTTTGTATCTTGTGGACACACAGGCCTGGGTCTCACTCTGTGGCACACACATATGTGGACTGCATGTCCAGGCAAACACGGGCTCCCACCAGGGGAGCGCTCTTTGACAACTGCTGGCGGCCCTGGAAGGAGAGAATACAGGATCACAGGGGGCAGGGAGGCTGGCTCCGAGGCTCTGAGGAGTGCGGTGGGCAAGGTTGGAGGCCATGCAAGGAGAAGGCCTTTTGAAAACCAGCTGTTGCTGGAGCTGATTTTCACCCCATTCGGAGACCTGCTTGGCCCCGGGGAGGTCTGACCGCAAGGAAAACAGGAGAGCTCTACCGCAGGTCACTGGAACACTGACACAGCTCCTCCCTGGAGGCTTGTCTCTGCGGAGACCAGCACCTGGGCGGGACGGAGCGATTCTGTGGATGGAACGCAAAGCCACAGGGGGAAGCAGTATCAGAAAGAGGCAGTGAACGGCAGCCTGCGCTACCCCTGGCGGCCACCAGAGGACACAAGTCGCCCACGGGAAGCCAGCAGAGCACTGTGGGGTAGGCTGTGGGGGAGGGCTGTACACTTCTCGGGGTGCCACGCCCCCCTTTTGAAGGTTTGTAGCCCCTGTGAGACTGTAAATACCCCAAAACAAGAGCCAACTTTCAATGAGCAGCTATTCCATGCCGGACACTCTTAAATGCTTTCCACAGATTATGGGCTTTTTACTTTAAAAATTGTAATCATTTTAATGAGATATAACATATACACGACAAACTTCACATATTTAAAGTGTAAAATCCGCTGCAATTCGGCAGGTATACACCCAGGAAGCCCTCACCTCGATCCACAGAGTGAAGGGCTCATCATCCCTGAAGGTTCCTCTGCCTGGAACCGCCTCCCCTGGGAATTTCATGCAAATGGGTCAGGCGTTTGTTCCCTCCCATGACAAGAAGACTCGTCTGGTGGCTTTCACTTGGCATAATCTTTTTAAAAAATATGTTTTATTGATTTTGTACAGAGAGGAATGGAAAGAGATGAGAGTTAGAAACATCGATGAGAGTCATCGATCAGCTGCCTCTTGCACACCCCCTACTGGGGATATGGCCACAACCAAGGTACATGCCCTTGACCGGAATCGAACCTGGGACCCTTCAGTCCCCAAGCCGACGCTCTATCCATTGAGCCAAACCGGTCTCGGCGGCATAATTAGTTTGAGATCCATACACACCAGTGTGTACATCCATAGGTGTACTTATTAATGTGGAGGGTTCCGTTGTTGG